ATGGACGATCTGACAGGACTGTTACTATGAGGTGATCACATCTAACGTGTATCGTAACAAACTCACCGTGTCTATCTAGTCATGATGAAGAAAGATGTAGATACATTTCAATTTCAGCAGGCAACTATTTTTACAGCTACATTATTGTTCCAGCCACAGTTAATCACAACCATGTATATACAATTACAAGTGATTATAAATGAATCGTCAGTTTGTTGTTTTACACACATGCACACAGACATTATTTCATACACGACATAGTCGTGAGATGCAAGAAACATAGACATATGGCAAGAAATCTGTAGACGCGCCCATAACAACAAAAGACAATACTTTATTGAATCTTTTCTGATAAGAAGAGCATTTTTGACGATCGTTTCTGTCCAGTCCGCTCGTTTTATCGCGTTTAACCACCGCTGTCGTCGTTTTTTTGTCTGGCAGTGGCAGCAGATATGCGATTAAATGTCTAATTTGAGGCTGTATTACGTCGATTCTGGCACCCAACATGATATTTTAAGCTCCTCATGAAGCCGAATCTACGCTGGTTTGAATGGGCTAGCGCTGTGACGTCGCTGACCCTAGTTACCTGTGGTTGGCCTGGCCACGCGTCACTCAGAACACAACAGGCCAATCAGAAGAGAGGCTCATGAATATTAATTAGACAGACCAAACTCGACCTGTTCTCAGCAGAGCTCCTGAGAGAGGAGCTGTAAAAATAGATTGAGATGGTTTTTGGTATTTATACCGCAAATATATATTCTTAAGGACATCAAAACCTCAAATAAAACTCCAGAAAGGTGTACAATATGGGACCTTTAATTTAATTTAATTGTGTTATTTTATTTTAGTATTTTGCTGTGGTTTGCTGGTTTTACGGTGCTTTATTTTATTAAATTTTTTGTCGAGGTTTGCTGGTTTTGGGCACATAGTGTTTTATTTTGAATGATTTATTTAGTTATTTTTATTGGTGTTTGCAAACATCAGAATCACAGACCGAGCAGAGCATTGTGGGTAATGTATCTGTAGAAATTCCCATAATGCACTGCAGTGAGAAATAAAATCATCCAAGATGGTCCTCAAAGTAAAAGTAATGTTGATAAATATATGTGTAATTCATTTACTGAAAAGAATAATTAAAATAGTTTTATTTCTAATTAAAGTAAATTATTTATTATTAAATACTTTAGTAATTAAATAATATATTTTAAAACTATTATATTATTAATTGTAGTAAATGTATTTGTTAAAAATTGAAATAAATAAAACACTGTATTAATGATAAATAACAAAATATATAAAAGCATTATTATTATTTTTATTACTATTTAATAATGAATTGTTCTATATAAATTGAAATCAATGTTTTTTATTAAATAAGTTTAATAATGAAATAATAAATAATTAAAAATATTAAATATATGTTTAAAACACATTATTATTATTATTAGTAATAATAATAAAAATAAGTAGTTTTATTTAATTTGAAAGCAATACAACAATTTATTATTAAATATGTTTAATAATGAAATAATTAATAATGAAAAACAATAAATGTTTGAAATAATAAATGGTTTTATTTAATTTTAAACAAATCAAGATCAAATTATTTGATCATAAAAATAAATAAAACTGATTTAAAAACGTTATTTTTTAAATCATCACCATTGCAAGGATTGCTAAAGTCAACAGATTGTACTAATAGAGCTACCAATTTCTGTGTAAAAATAAAATAATGATGCTACCATCTTTCTTAAGTCATTTTATTCCCCTGTAATTTGGCTCTGAATCTTGACCCTCCCCTTACAAAATAGTGGATTACTCAGTAAATATGTCTGTGACATTTCATATTTTGGGTTTTATCACTATATATGTTACAAAATCAAAAATGTTAGCCGAGAAGTTTCTGAAATTTGCTTGATTTGACTCTGAGTGACCAATATGTAATTTATATCTAATTAGGAATGTTGTATTTGAGCCATTCTTTGTGTGCAGTGTGTTTTTCTGCTTGATAGGATACTCTGTGTTCTGTTCGGAGTCAGTGTCTCACGTCCCTCTTTCCTCTCTCTCTCTCTCGGTCCAGCACACAGATCTGTGTCAGTACATGGACAAACATCCCGGCGGCCTCCATCCGGACAACGTCAGGGTGAGTGAGACACCGCTCTCTGTTTGAACTGCTCTTGTGAGGGATTTCATGCATGCTTCACCAGAGAATCCAAAAACTCTTCTTGAAGCGTCTGATGCATATTGAGCACAAAACAGCAAGCTTCAATCTGATCGGCAAGCTTTATGCAACAGGTTTTTATATCTGTGATAATATAAAGGAAACATGCTCTGAAATATATGTGAATAGGCTGGAAAATATATATTATTTGATTTGATTTTAGATTCAGTATCATATCATTTTGAATGTTATTCTATTTTATTATATTCTATTTCATTTCATTTTATTCTATTTTATTATATTCTATTTCATTTCATTTTATTCTATTTTATTATTTTCTATTGTATTTAATTGTATTTATTTATTTTTATTCTATTTTATTTTATATGATTTTAGTCTTATTTTATTCTATTCTATTTTATTTTATTCAATTTCATGTAAGTTCATTTTATTTTATTCTATTTTTAATCATTTTTACTTATTTTTATTCTATTTTATTTTATATGATTTTAGTCTTATTTTATTCTATTCTATTTTATTTTATTCTATTCTATTTAATGTAATTTCATTTTATTTGATTCTATTAATTTTTTTTATTCTATTTTATTTTATATAATTTTAGTCGATTTTATAATATTCTATTTTATTTCATTTCATTTTAATTTATTTCATTAAAATTTTTATTCAATTTTATTATTTTATTTTAGACCTAGTACGCAACCTGGCAAAGTGTAAGAACTACTTGCTGGATTTGTGATTTTCATATTGCGTATTTCAATTTTTATTTATTTTTTCTCAGCATTTGAGATTTTTCAGATTTACTAAATGTCATTGTTGGCTTCATCAGCTCTTTTCAGTGTCCATTTCTTGTCCAGAATATGCTACAGTGTGGACCGGACTTGTGAGACAGTTGTTCCACGTGTAGTTTATGGTTCAGATTCTGGCATGAAGATTTCACAGAAGTTTTTAGCATGTATTTCTTCTCTTTCTGATTCCCGTCTGAAGCGTTGTGCGGTCAGAAGTAGAGCCGGAGTCGTGTGAGTTCAGACCCGTCTGCGTCTCTTTGTCTGTCAGACGTGAGGCTCTCGAGTCAGTGATTCCTGAGCGTCTGTGTCCATCTGTAATGAAACTCTCTGTCCGTGTCCGTGTTTAATTGAGCAGTGAGACCACACACTCGCAGTAAGTGGGTTTTCTTGAGATCTGAAGGAAGAAATGAGCAGAAGAACAGACGTATGATTACAGCTGAGGTTTCTGTAGAGGCACTTTATAATACAGTACCAGATTTTCCAGAGTATAATTGTGTTTTTTATCTTCTGAAACGTGCTGACACGCATATTCGAAAGCGTCTTTTATAATGCAGTTAACATCAAGCATGCAGAACATGTTCAAAGCCACAGATTTGGAATTTGTTGTGATTTTAGGGAGCTAAAATACATCGTTATAGTGTTTATAATGTTTTATTTATTGGTATTTTACATTGTTTCTGAATTTAATAGTAAAACATGACTTACATGGTGATGAAAATCGGTTTTTTTCCTCTCCCAACAATGCAATTTTGACCCAGTGCAACTTATTTTATGGAAATGTAATTTATAGTCATAGTAATTTTGGCAATTCTGTTGCCAATGCTGGTGGTTCAGAACAGTGTTATTTTAACAACAAATTTATATATAAAATTTACAAAACAATTTATTGTTTTGTTTTATTATTAATAATAAATAATGTAATAATAATAATAATAATAAAAAAATAATACATATATTTTAAAAACTATTGTTATTTAATAATAAATTTAATTGTTTGATTTAATTATAAATAAATTAAATAAAACAATGTATTATTAAACAAATAATGTAATAATTAAATTAAATAATAAATATAATATATATATTTTTAATCTTTTTAAAAAAAAATTAAATATGAGTTATTTAGCTTTTATTAGAAATGCTGCATTGGCAGCTACCTGAAATAAAACGCTTTATATTTTGCAAATGCTTGCATCCAAAGTGAAATTTGGAAATCAGTTCATGCATTTCCTATGAATCGAACCCGTGACCTTATTGTTGCAAGCATCTTGATCTACTGTTTGTGCAAATAAGAATAATTCTCAATATGAAACAACATCCCCTTGCCATTACCACTCGATTTGGTTGTTTTCATGACAAAAACTGTTGGTAAACTAGTTGGAAAAATGACAGATGAAAACTAGTTGTGTTTTTACTTGCTATATTTGACATAAATGGACAACACAGTTTTTATTTGGTTAAAATGCTTCTTGAAATCAAGTATAAAGTCAATGTCTTGGTAGAAAGTAGCAGTGAAAGAGCAGTGAGTTGGTAAGTCCTGGCGTGATGGAGTGAATGAGGCCAGCGAGCAGAAGTCGCTTATGTAATTCATCACTGTGGATTTACATAAATAAAGTATTTATCCCATTCGCTCCCTCATTGAGATTCAATCCAATGGAGAAATCCTGATAAGTGACAAGCCAGACGTACGGTGGGATCTGTTTCCCACAGATCATCTCACAATGCCACAGTATGGAGAAAATCAGGACAGGCTGCACTTTACATGGCTTTCACAACCTTTAAAGAACATTTCTGACCAGGAATCCCCTTTAGATTCAGGTTTATGAGGACAGTGAGCTGCAGAGAATCGTTTTGTGGCCATTATAATGTCTTATTTCTCATGCATGTAGACCAGGCAAGCATGAGCCAATCTTTACTTGGATACCTTGGTTTAGATTAGATCATACCGATACTTGAGTTTCTTTTGGTGAATAGTTCTCTGAATAGTATCTGTGTTGATTGAGATTGGACTGAAATGGTTAAACTATTGATGTGCAAGAAACATAAAACAAGGAACCCATAGCTGGATCTGTAGATGAATGTAGATGACTGAACATGACTTAAATTCATAAATATATTTTTTTGAACTTTTTTTTGTCTACCTCAAAAACTTGTGCTTATAAAAGCATATTTTATTATATATTTTATATAATAAATACAATTAAAGAAATATAAGTATAATAAAATATAAATATAATAAAGAAAATATCTTAAAAATGTGTGTATAAATATATATATATATACATAATATAAATATAATATATAATATAATACCCTGGAGCACAAAAGCAGTGTTAAGTCGCTGGGGGATATTTGTAGCAATAGCCAACAATATGGGTTAAAATTATACATTTTTATTTTATGCCAAAAATCATTAGGATATTAAGTAAAGATCATGTTCCATGAAGATATTTAGTAAATTTCCTACTGTAAATATATCAAAACTTAATGTTTGATTAGTAATATGCATTGCTAAGAACTTCATTTGGACAACTTTAAAGATGATTTTCTCAATATTTAGATTTTTTTGCACCCTCAGATTCCAGATTTTCAAATATTGTCTTATCCTAACAAACCATACATCAATGGAAAGCTTATTTATTATTTATCTCAATTTCAAAAAATGGACCCTTATGACTGATTTTGTTGTCCAGGGTCATATATGGTTCTATTATGGTTATATATATATATATATATTAAGAGAAAATGTAAAAAAATTAAATGGATAAATGCATACAAAATATGTATATATAAT